GGGGATCGAACTTGGGTCATTGTGCTTGAGAGGCAGTTGCCGGAACCACAGAGCTAAATCCCCAGCCCAGTGAGCTACTTTTAGAAGAGCTACCCAATAATACCACCACCAAGCTACACCTCCGGCCCCATATCCTTCTCTTTGGAGCCTCCATCTCTTTCTCTCAGGCTGGGTTCATTTATCAACGTCTAGTTCAAGGGTCTTCTTCATAAGGTCTTCTTTGATTTTCTACTTTTTCTTTCCAGCACAATTCTAGGCAGACAAATGTACTGATAATTAGTAAATTGCCTGCTTCTTTTTTTGTTGACTCTATCATTCCATACTAAGAGGGAAGTAAACTTATACCAAGTGCCTACAAGGTTTCCCATGCTTTATCCATTGTTGCTTGCTTCTTCTGTATTCCACGTATTATTCTCACGAGCTCTTCTCTTTGCCATAGATTACACACATGTAATTTTATTCTAACACACTGATTTTTCCTGAGTAAATTCGAAGAGCAGAAAAAAAAAAAAGCAAGGCCTGGTGGAGCATGCCTGTTATCTCAGCACCCTCAGGAAGCTGTGGCAGGAGGATCACTGTGAGTTTGAGCACAGCCTGGCTGCATAATGAGTGCAAGGCCAGCCTGAAAACAAACAAAAAATGTCATTATGTCCCTGGGTGTGGTAGCACACACCTATAATCCTAGCTTCTCAGGATTACAAATTTGAGCCTCATCAAGTAACTTGATCCTGTCTCAAAATATAGAGATGAAGATGTAGCTCAGCACTCTGTGTTCAATCCCTAGTATTACAAAAAATAAAAAATTATGTTAACATACAATGGTTTTTATTTTTAAATAAATATTTTAAAGGTTTTAACTTAAAATCAATTTCTGATATAGTAACATAACACATAAAATCTCTTCAAAGGTTATTATTAGATAAGACAAATGGAATAAGGGTAGTCAGTATGGGGGTAAGAGGAAGGGTAATAGGTGGGATAAATATGATCAAAATGTTATATGCATATATAAATGCCATAATGATACTCAATATTTTGTAAAATAGGCACTAATAAAATATATATATTTAAAAAGCTCTTTGAAACCCTCAACAATTTCTAAGAGTAGAGAAACTTTCTGAAACCACAAAGTTTGAGAATTACTGTCTTAAAGTAAAGCTTCCCAAATTTTAGTCACAAACAACTCCTATAGTTTCTACCATTTATATTCAGTACATAAACAGGTGCCCAGCAATGATGTTGGTTGTCAGATGACGAGGGCCACAGGTTAGAAGCTAAACGCTTTGGTAATCACTAGCATTGGAATTAATGGGATAAAGGTTATGTGTGGTAAAAAGTGGGCTTCTGATACTTTGGCCTTATGGTAGAATGAGGTAGAATTATCCCAGCTATACTGTTACTTCCTTTAACTCATTTCATTATTTCAACTCATTTTTTAAAATTAAGCTAGCTATAGCTAATACGTTATTCTAAGTATGTCAATGTATATTAATTCAAATATTACAAAACCCTGGGAGGTGGGTTATGCTGTTATTATTCTAATTTCCAGCTGGGGAGACAGGTTCTTCTCCCCGGCATGCAATTTGTAAAGTGGCAGAGCCTGGATTCAACCCCAGCAGTCCAGCTCCAGAACTCAGCTCCTGATCTATTACATCATACATTCAGACTCAGTTTTTCCAGTACAACCCAAAGCCATCCCTATCACACTGGGAAGTGCAACCCTAAAATGTCTATCCAATTAAAGTGTCATGATTTGTGTGGTACTTTTCATTAATTTTAAAGTGTGGGGTGGGGGATAGCAGCAAGAGTTTATAATCCTAACTACAATATTCTGGAGGCTGAAGCAGGAGGACCATTGCAGCCTAGAAGTACAAGCCAATGTGGGCAAAATAATGAGAACCTCTCTCAAAAAACCAAATAGCTAGGGTGATGGTGCACATCTGTAATCCCAGCTACTCTGGAGCCTGAGGCAGGAGTATCAAAAATTTGAGGCCAAGGGCCAGGGATTTAGCTCATTGGTTCTGGTGCCTGCCTTGCAATTGCAAGGACCTGAGTTTGATCCCTGGTAAAAAATCAGAGGCAAACCAGGCATGATGGCACATGCCTATAATCCCAGCACTCAGGAGGCTGAGGCAGGAGGATCACTGTGAGTTTGAAGCCAGCCTGGGCAACATAGTGAGTTCAAGGCCAGCCTGAACGGCATGAGACCCTGTCTCAAACAAAAACATAAACAAAAAACCACCACAACAACAAAATTTAAGGTCAGTCTGGGCAATTTATCAAGACCTCATCTCAAAATAAAAAGGGATGGGGATGTAGCTCATCACCTCCTGGGTTCAAGCTCCAGAATCTCTCTCTCTCTCTCTCTCTCTCTCTCTCTCTCTCTCTCACACACACACACACACAAACACACACACACCACAAAACATCAAAGAAGTGCAAAGCAATATGGTACGCAAAAATAAGTATGACACAATTTTGTTATTTACATATTAGTGGGATTCTCAGTCCCTGCTCCATCCTCCATGTAATTAAATTTTAATGACAGATCAGTGAATCTATTTTTAAATATTTATTTATTTTTATTTTCTTTTGAGAGCGGATCTCACTGTATAGCTCAGACTGGCCTAAAACACTTATCGATCTTCCGGATTCCATCTCTCAAGCGCTGCAATTTCAGGTGTGTGCCACCACTGCCACCATGCCTGGCTGAGTATGAGCCTCGCAGACACAAAACCCAAGCCCTGGGTTCAATCCCCAGCAAACTCTCCCCAACAAAAAAAGAAGAAAAAGAAAAAGCAGCAGGCAGATGAACACAATATAGACTACATATACTGTAGCTGAGCCTGGGTCCCAAGCCTTGGGGTGCCACCTGTAGGGGACCCACTGGGCCTTCCTTATTCTGGGACCTAGACCAGCTACTTGGTTCTTTCAGACCACGGTCCAGGTGGGGGTGTGGTTGGTGAGAATGAATGACAAAGATTTACAGAGTCAGTTTAAAACGTGGGCAGCCAGCGGGCTCCTGCCTCTTAGTAGGAGGCAGAGGAGCCCCAGTGTCGGGCTCATCTTGCCTTTATTCACTCAAACACCTGCACAAGCAATCAAAGTAACACAAGATTTATCTGCTTTCCAGTATCCATTAGAACATACTCGTAAACAATTTAACCTCAGGTGTCTTAACTTTTTCCTAAAATGCAATCACCCCTGTGTGCAGGCCTCAATTCTCCTCTGGTCTCCAACAATATACAAAATGATGTAATTTCACCACACTACTTATTCTTCTCAACTAGAAATTCTTGAATTTCTGGATGTTAAATGAATATGTGTATATAATTTCACCATACACTCTGGGAGATTAAAGAGGACTTTTTTTCCTTTCTTTTTTTTTGAGACAAGTCTCACTATGTAATTCAGGCTGGCCTTGAACTCACTATGTGGCCCAGGCCGAGATCCTCCTGCCTCAACTTCCTAGGATCAAAGGCACCCAACTCTAAGAGGCCATTCTACAAATGAAGTATTGGTGCTCTGTGACAGCCACTTACTTCCAACCTTTTGCTTACTTAACCTTATTCTCAATGATATTGTATAGTTGCACTGCTAAACAAGTACTCTAACCTCTGTTAGTGAGTTAAACCTATTTTGTAGTTGGACATTTAATTGAGTAAACATAACATATTTACTATGTTGTGTGTGTGTGTTACTGGAGATTGAATCCAATGTTTACAGTGAGCTTACATCTTTAGCCCTTTTTTTCAGTTTTGTATTTTGAGACAGAGTATGGCTAAATTGCTAAGTTGCCCAAGATGGCTTCCTGAAAAAAACCTAAATTTAAATCCTAGCTCTGTCATTCACTAGTTTCACATTAGGGAATTTCCAATATACCTAAACCTTGTTTTCTTCATCTGTAAATATGAAATCCAAGTAATACCCATCTCTTGGAAGTGTTGAGGATTAAATGATATACTCATAGCCGGGGATTTAGCTCAGTGGTTTCGCTGCCTGCCTCGAAAGCACAAGGTCCCAGGTTGATCCCGGTACTCCCCCTCAAAAGATAAACACTTAAGAAGGAAGGTATAGGAACTGATATTTAGTAAGCACTATTGCCTATTAACTTCACTTCCCATTAGTATTGTGTAATATTTGCATTTGCTGCCGTTTTGGGTTGAAACTTCTATGCCAACATTTGAGCTTAGGGACACCGCATCATAGCCCTTCGTGTGACCTGTTTACTAATTCGATAAATCCCTTCCCCCAAAATATATACTCCAATTACAAGGCCCTATTCTTTATATCCTTTCTCAAAGTTCTAGATAACACGAAAGGCTCTATACTAAATAATCTGTCTTAGACCGAAAAGGGAACTGGGTAGACTTCGGCTCTAGGTCCGTGATCTACTCCTAATTCAACTACTTCATCTTGGACAGGTTATTTAATCTCTTCAGCAAGCCGCTGGTCCTCATTTATATGAGTGCTAGGTTCGATCAGTTCCACTGTCCCTTTAGACTCTAATTGGGGAGATCATGTCAAGTCACCACAAAAGACTAAGGTGACTGGAAATCCCTAAATATTGTCCAATCCTAGCTCAAACGTTACTGCTTCCTATTTCTGGACACCTCGGGATTTTGTATACATTTCAAGCGTTCACATTAGCCCGAACGCCCTCAAGCGGTTAGGACGTCACATTACACCTCACGGGTGCCTACACCTCGCCGAAACAGTTTCCGCAGTCCCGACCCACAGCTGAGCAGAATTAAATAATGGACTAGGGCACAGGGAAGCGGTCGAGAGATGTTGGCTAGTATCAGTATTCATCGAGTTCCCTGCCTCTCTTTGAGCCTTAAGTTTGAAGTGAGGCTGGACTATACCCAAATCCCTCAGCAGCTAGGCAGAGGGTCCCGGGAGGGCCTGAGGGGCGCCAGCTGCGGAAGCCAAGGGGGTCCTGGAAGACTGGGGCCCTGAGAGTCCGGGGTCCAGCCCCACGCCAAGATGCGTCCTCTCACCTCCCGGGCTCAGTAGCAGCTTCAGCGCTTCCACAATCTGGTCCAGACCGCAGGTCTCCAGAGCCCCGCTACCCACGACAAGTCGCGGGGTCGCCATGATTAGAGTGGAATATGTAGAGTTGCGACCTGCTCAGACGCTTTGGTGGACCCGCGCTGCCGCCATGTTGAGTGTGGCAGAAAGAGCGATCAGGGCTAGGGGCGGGGCGTGGGCGGGACCGGCGTAGTAAGGAACGCCCCCGTCACGTTGTCTTCTGGTTCTACTGTACTCCCCTGAGCCAGTTGGAGAGCAAGCACAATTTTAGAAATTCAGTATAATTAACTGCTATAAAAAAGAGAAGACGGGGCCAGGGATTTAGCTCAGTGGTTCCGTCGCCTGCCTCGCAAGCACAAGGACCCAAGTTCAATTCCGGGTACCAATAAAAAAAGAGAACAGAAATAGTTTATCATAAATTAATATCTATTTCAGTATACTGGAAAACAAGATGAGACAGACCTACTTATTGTGAAGTTTACATAAATAATACAATACTCATGAATATTTATTTTTTATAAGTGACATTTAAAATAAACTTATACATACACATGTATACATTGTGAATGTAACAGCTACAAATGTTGCTATTAGTGATATAATTTTTTTCCTGTTTGTGCTGGGGATTAATCCAGGGCATGAGAAATGCATGCTCTAAAATTGAGCTATCTCACACAATACCATTGAAATGGACTGAGTAAAGTCAGCCTTTGTTCCCTTTTTACATGGTTGTTCCATTCATACAGAAGTCAGTGTATAATAAAACCACTCACCCCAAATTGTGTTTCTATGTAAAACGGAATGGATATGAGATTCAGATAATGGGAAATCGGTTTTCACAACATAAATCCTGTTGAGATATTTTAAAAATCTCAGGAAAAGCCTTGCCTAAATGAGACAGGGTCTCCCTATGTAGTTTATGTTGGTCTTGAACTCAGGTAGCCCAGGCTCACCTCAAACGAGAGGCAATTCCCTTCCAAGTGCTGGTATCACAGGCGTGTGCTACCACACCTTCCCTGGAACATTTTTGAAGGGAAAATAAATGACCTATAAAATTATCAAGCTTGATGGCACATGCCTGTAATTGCAGCACTCAGGAGGCTGAGGCAGGACCTCTGTGAGTTTGAGCCTGGACTACATAGTGAGTTCAAAGCCAGGCTGAACTATATATCAAGACCCTGTCTCACACACAAAAAAAAACAAAAAACAAACCCAGAATGTTCTTTATTGTATATATTCCCTTCCATCTTTTGTTATTAGATAAATTCTCCTCATTTATGGACACAATTTCGTTTTGGAAAAAATAAGGTGATTTTGAGGTGTTAAAATATTTAGCAAAATTAGTATAATATTTTTTTCAGCCCTGGGGGTTGAGCTCAGGGCCTTAGCACTGAGCCATATCCCAGTCCTTTTGTTATTTCTTATTTTAATACAGGATCTCTCTAAATTGCCCAGATGGGTTTGAACTTTTGATCTTCCTGCCTCAGCCTTCCAGAGTGCTGGGATTACAGGGGTAATCCTTGCCCATTTCTGTCTTCCTATCTTGAAAATGATAACACATTTGAATTAGGAATTAGACTTTGCCTCTGAGCCTTGCACTGAACATGACGGCACCAAGGAAGCCCGGTCTCTCCAGGTGGCCTGAGCTTCTTTTCCCCTCAGGGTAGTCTCTGTCCTGCACTGGCAGGACAACACCTCAGCCCTGCACATTTGAGCTCTGCCCACACATTCCCAGGCAGCTACACTTGTCCCCACTCCCCCAGGGCTGTGATTGTCCCTAGTGCACTGTCCTGGACGAAGCAGACCAAGTGAGGAGGCACTGCAGACTCAAGAAGTGTGGGCAAGGAGTTCCAGGCACCTGGAACCTGGAGTGTGATCTAGGAGAAGGCTGAGGATTTGGGGTGGGCAAGTCCCCTAGACCTGGAAGATTTCTTGCTCATGGGGTGGCTGGCTAGGGCCTTCTAAGCTTGGGTTTCTTGGCTGAGGCTGTACCAGGGCAGTACTGGTATGGGATTTACAAAAGATGACAGGATAGCCACAACGAAGAATCCTTTATCCCAAATATTACAGAACTAGAACATCACTGTTTGTAATCTTTTAGGCTATATATGCTCAAATACAAATTGAAATGATTCCACAAGCAATGTCATAAAGATTTCATAAAAAAATTTGCACCGAAAGATAGATATATCCCATGTGGGGATAGCAAGTACATTTTAATACCATGATAGGATGTTGAAAGAGAGCTCCAGGCCTATAAGTCTGTAATGTTAAATTGGCCTTGTAGCTGAAGAAGAAAATATTCTTGGTGGCCTGGCCTTCGATCCCCGGTACCCCACCCCCCAAAAAATTCTTGGACTTTTCCCATTCTAAAATCTCAAATGGGCTTCCTTTGTTATTGTTATTTTCTAATTTTTTAAATTTGTACATGCTTGTGGTACATGCACTTTACAGTCAGCTTTGGGAGTGGGCACATGTCCATAATATAGCCTGGTTTATCCTCTTCCACTTCCTTTCCCCTGTTGTTTGGGGGTTTTGTTTGTTTGTTTTTGTTTTGTTTTGTTTTGGTATGGGGGAATCTAATTCAAACTCGGGTCCTTGTGCTTTCGAGTTGTTTTTTGAGACAGTCTTGCTTTGTAGCCTAGGCTGGCCTTGAACCTGTGATCCTCTTGTCTAAGCCTCCAAAGTGCCAGCATTACTGGCATGTGCCACCTTGCCCAGCTTCAGATGGGCTGTGGCTCAGTAGCAGAGTGCTTGCTTAGCATGCATGAAACCCTGGGTTCAATCCTCACCACTAAAATAAATAAATAAATAAATAAACTAAATTAAATTTATTGTGCTTTCAAATACCTTGTTTCTTTACAATTCAGTATTGTAGCTCACAGAATTTTAGTTTCTAGGAACTGAAGTCCAGTAGCTCCTTCCTGTTTGTTCTTAGTAGCTTTGCTAAAAACACAGAAGTACAACTGGGGTCCCTGTGTTATATGCTATTAAACACCCATACAACAGGGCTGGGGATTTAGCTCAGCGGTTCGGTGGCCTGCCTTGCAAGCGCAAGGACCCAAGTTCGATCCCCGGTACCCAAAAAAAAAAAACAAAAAAAATCCATACAACAAATCCCCACAGGAACTGTATATGGGGGTAGGGGACTGCCTCTCTGCAAAGAGCCATCTGGGGATGTTCAAGACATGTGTACAAACACAGAGGTCTGTATTCATGGAAAATGTGCTCTACTCATTTGAAATCAGCCATCAAAGAGCTCATTATATTAGAATTTGATGGCAGCTAAACAAGTCATCAAAGCAGACTGGGGTGTTTGCCTCCTGTTTGCTCAACTTAGAACTAACGAGACTAATAGTGTTCAGTGTATTCCATTCACTATCAGTGGCTGTTTTACAGGAGCAGAAATCCCAGGATAGACCCCAGCAAATTAAGTGTTCTTGTGGGGAACACTTACACAGCCACATGTTTGCGTCCCGTTATCCATAATTGGCCCCTTATTATTAATTGTAGTGCTGGGAATTGAACCCTGGGCCTCACACACACTCAGCAAGCACTCAACCATTCAGCTACATCGGTACTCCATTCTGTTTTCCTTCTGTTGCCTGCACCTCTAGTGTTGTATTCAGGAAATCATTGCCACTTGGGACATCAAGAAGCTTTTCCTGTTTTGGGATACATTTTAACTTTTGCATAGACTAAGGTAAAGGAAGATCCAATTTTCCCAGCCATCTGTTGAAAAACAACATCTTCTCCCCCATTGGTTTCGGCACCACTGTCAGTATCACTTGACCACATATATGAGATTTCTAGGATCCTTATTCCTCCATTTTTAATTTTGAAATATTTATTTTTTGATACTAGGGATCAAACTCAAGACCTTGCACTTGCAAGGTAGGCATAGTGCCACTGAGCTAAATCTCAAGCCCTTGAAATATTTTAAATGCAAAGAAAAATGGAAATAGTAGTACATCAACACCTAGATTGTCACTGTGAACATTTTGTTGCATTTACTTTCTCACTGCTTCTCAATATATACCTTTTGGGAAGCCATGTAAATGAACTTCAGGACATCACGGCATTTTAACCATCAGCTTTTACATCCTAAGAATAAGGGATATACTGTCCTAGGGACCTTAACTTCATTATTGCAACCAAGGGAACTAACATTTGGGCCAGGGATTTAGCTCGTGGTTCCACCACGTGCCTCACATGTGTAAGATCCCAAGTTTATGGAAAAAAAAAAAAAAAAAAAAAAGATAACCAACATTTATTCAGGAATCATCTACCATATGGGCCACAGTCAAAATTCCAATTTCCCCAAAATGTCTTTTTGTAGGTTTTCGTTTTTCATACTGAGATCCAATCAAAGTTCATTTATTAGTGGTTGTAGACAAGCTAAATTTCCAGAAATTCCACTCCTATGTGTATTCCTAAAAGAACTGGAAGCAGAGACTCAAACAAGTATTTGTATACCAGTGTTCCTTTTTTTTTTTTTTTTTTGGTTTTTCCAGACAGGGTCTCACTATGTAGTTGAGACTGACCTGGAACTCACTGTATAGTCCAGGCTGGTCTCAAACTCACAGCAATCCTCCTGCCTCAGCCTCCTGAGTGCTGGGATTACAGGTGTGTGCCATGCCTGACATACCAGTGTTCATTTCAGTGGTTAAAAGTTAAACAGGCTGGGAGTAGTGGCAAATGCCTGTGATCCCAGGACTTGGGAGGCTGAATCAGGAGGATCCCTGTGAGTTTGAGTAGCCTAGGCCACATGAGTTCAAGGCCAGTCTGAACCACATGGTAAGAACTTGTCTTAAAGAAAAAAAGTTAAAAACAGCCCAATGAGTAAATAAAATGAGGTATATGTGTACACTGGCGCATTATTTACCCCTGAAAAGGAACAGTGCTTTGATACATGTTACAATATGAATGTACTTTGAAATTATGCTAATAAACCAGACCTGTCTAGAATGGGCAAAATCACAGACGGAAACAGAATAGGGTGTTGCCTGGGGCTGGGAAGAGACAGATAAGGAGAGGTTTCTGTCTACTGGATACATAATTTTTTGGAGTGAAAAATGTTCTAGTGCCAGGCATGGTGTCACTCTCCTGTAATCCCAGCACACAGGAGGCTGAGGAAGGAGGATCACTGCGAGTCTGAGGCCAGCCTCAACTATGTAGTGAGACCTTGTCCCCAAAACAAAAGGGGCTGGGGATTTTGCTCAGTGATTCTGCTGCCTGCCTCGCAAGCTCAAGGTCTCGAGTTTGATACCTGGTACCAAAAACAAACAACAACAACAAAACAAAGCCACAAAAAACAAAAATCAAAATGTTCTGGAAGAAGTGGTAGTTACACAACATTTTGAATGTACTAAGCATCATTAACTTGTACACTTCAAAATGGTAAAATGAGGGGCCGGGGATTTAACTCAGTGCGCTGCACCTGCCTTGCAAGCGCAAGGTCCTGAGTTCCAACCCCAGTATTGGTAAACAAAACAAAAAAATTGTAAAATGAGTACAAAGTTGCAGTTTGAGATGAAAAGGTTCTGAAGATGCATAGTGTTAATGGCTGTGCAATAACTGGATTGTACTTAATGACTGAACTATATAATCACAAAGGTTTGAAATGGTAAATTTTTGTTGTATTTATTATTATTATTATTTTTTGGCACCAGGGATCTAACTTAGGGCCTTACAATTGCCAGGCAGGCGAGGTGCCACTGAGCTACATTCCTGGCCTGTATTTACAACAATTTAAAAAAAAATTATCCAAGCCAAGTGTGACGGCATACGCCTGTAAATCCAGCACTCAAAAGACTCAGGCCAGCCTAAACTACACAGCCAGGGCCTATCTCAAAAATAAAATAAATGAAATTACCAAAAGAAGAAAAAACTATTCCCATCTAGCAGAAAAAAGGTGCAGGTCTGTTCCAGGGCTTCTCAGCACTACCACGCTGTAGGTTGGAGAATTCCTCCTTGTGGGGACGTCCTGTACACTGCAGGGCGTTTAACAGCGTGTCTGGCCTTGACTTGACAGTAACACCGCCCAGCTATGGGCAGAGGTGGTACAATCTTCTTCAGCGCGTCCCGCCGGCTGACCAGATAGGCAAGTACTGTTTGAAACTTCTTCTGCCTTGTGGGTCAGCACACCGAATATCCCACTGAACTCAGCAGTTCCCGGGTTTCGGGCCACAAAGGCTGCCTTCGGGTAAACTGGCCTAATAAATGTGCTTTCTTCTTTTTTGGCCCCAGGCAGAATGGCTGAATATTCTGGAGACGGAAGTTTCTTTCTCCACGCTTTGACTAAGCTCCCCCGCTTTATTTCCTTTCTCTCCCTCCTCTCCCTAACCCCTCCTCTCTCTGTAGTGGGGACTGAACTCCAGTCCTTGTGTTTGCTTCTTGTGTCTTCCAGCAGGTGGCGGAGACATTGAGCTAAATCCCCAGCCTCCCTCCTTTATCTTCTTTGGAATTCCAATGGGGTCAAATCAAACAAGTTTGACAATGGTTTAACAAAACTCTTTAATAAAATTTATAAAAATGCATCTTTGGGAATAATTTTCTCACTTGACTTGTTTTCCTTTTCCACTCCCAAAGAAGATACAAAATTATCAGCACCCACACACAATGTACACTCAAACTACAATGACATTCTCTACACCCAGCTACATTAGATATGGTTTAAACTGCACAAAAATCAAGACAATTCCAACAATTGATTACAGACATAATTTTTTTTTCCACACCCACTTAAGAGCAAAGCAATTTCAAAAAACTCCTTCCTGTGGTTATCAATAGTTGAAACTTGCATTCTGAATTTAAAGAAAAAGAAAAGATTTTAATCAAGGTCCTTTCTCCCCCACCTATTATTTTGGGTACCGGGGATTGAACTCAGGACCTTGCACTTGTGAGGCAATCGGTGGAACCACCGAGCTAAATCCCCGGCCCCTCCTCCTCCCTTTTTAATGTCCATTAAAAAAGTGTTTTCTTTCCTCTAAGAAAAAAAAAGCTGTAATTCTCAATATTGTATTTTCTGCGCACACTTGGAAAGAGTCATCTATGTCCAGATTGGCCAGTATTTTTTCTAGACACCATCAAAAACAGTATTTGGAGATGGTGGGCTTTTGGGTACAGACTGTGGTATGTGGATCCCAGGTCGGAAACACAGGTAGAGATTCCCCTGTTCTTCCAGGATGTTCAAGGAAAGAGGCTGACCCACCTCAGCTGTCCTCAACCTCAATTACTAGATGGCCAAAATAATGAGGAGCCCTCTGGCCACCTCCACGCCCATATTTCTTTTCTGTCTTTGGCTATAGCACTGTCGGCACTATTCTAAGTGTCATTAATAAATAAGCATGCAAAATTAAGCGGCACCTGAAAATTCACCGTATTTTCTGGTCAAGGCTCCTGATAAAGAACCAAAGTATCCTGCAATGACATTCACAGAGCAAACACTGACTCAGACCAAGTAAATGCATAGATGCCCATTTCAACCTAATACTTAGGAGCTGAAAAGGAAAACCAAGAAAAGTCTTTCGAGTACACAATACCCAGTCAAGACATGGCCACAGCAAGACACATGCCTGTCACCCTAAAAGGGCCCAGTATTTTCTGTATCAGAACTCCCATGTGTGGCAGGGCAACAGAATTCAGGAGTAAGAGTGGAGATCAGGACACAGGACGCCAGTGTAGTGATTAGGGGGTGGTGAAGGAGGCACTCCCTTAAAATATATATATATAAAACAACAGTTGACTTTTGCTCTCCTTTTAAACATGAGACAAACTTCCTTAAGGAAATCTATAAATTGCTAGCAGAAACAATTTATTTTATCGATTGATACACTGAATATTTTTGAGACCGGGTCTTACTGTGTAGTTTGGGCTGGCCTTGAATTCACTATGTAGCCCAGGCTACTCAGTGATCCTTCTGCCTCAGCCTTCTGAGTGCTAGGATTATAGATGTGCGCTACTGAGCCTGGCAGCTAGCAGACATCTGAGGCCGAAATTGTTCTTTCAAATATCAAAATTCTAGGAGCTTTGGGACCTTTTTATGATGTAAAGATTAAAGGGGAAAAATATTTAATGAGTAAATCAAAACCTTCCTAACACACAAAACAGAGATATGAAGAGAAAACCATAACTATTTGAACTGTATCACGGATCAGTCTTGGTCGGCAAGACCCATCTCAAGGGAAGAGAGCTGCATATCACCAGCAACACTGTCCTGCGTTTCGTATTGCACAGGTCTCTCCAGTCCGCCTAGTCGTCCTCGCCGCCCCCGTACATGTCCGCCAGCTTCTTGAAGCGATTGCCCCACTCATTCAGGTAGTCATAGTCTTGGTCCTTGTCTGACTCGGAGGAGTTCAGGGAGCTCAGACTAGCAGCTTCGGAACCACTTCCTTCATAGTCGAACACGAGCAGAGAGTCGTAAGGGGGCGCTGTGGGGTCACTGTCAGCCGCCTTCAGGTTCTAAAGAGGGACAACAGGATCTTTCAGGGACTGGCAAGGCACAGCATTCATCAGAGGCAAGAGCCTTCTTGCTGTCCCTCAGGCAACATGTGACAATGCACCAGCCCACAGGACACCAGGGAGCAGTTAACACCAACAAGATGCGTTCATAAAAACTGGCACGGCGATGCCGGGCGTGGTGGCGCGCACCTGTCATCCCAGCACTCGGGAGGCTGAGACAGGAGGATCGCTGTGAGTTTGAGACCAGCCTGGGCTACACAGTGAGTTCCAGGTCAGTCTCAACTACATAGCGAGACCCTGTCTCAAAAAACAAAAGCAAAAAAAAAAAAAAAAGTTAACTCTGGGGAGTAGAGTTTAAAGACCCAAGGAAGGACTTACGTGTTCTATATGTATATGCACATTTTATAATTTATATTTAAGATAGCAAGCATATTATTTTTATAATTTTAAAAACTACAAATAACCGTGATGGCTTACAAATGAATGTGAATGAAGGAAAGGACCCAAATGAGAGATGGAGAATATGGCCCTTCCTGTTCTCCAAGGACCTGGTAGTCTGAATGGATGTGGCTCGCTTACTCCCGACACTGCATGCTCTGCACAGCCCTCGGGGACAGTAATTTCCATAGAAGAGAAAAGCAAAACCAGCCTCTAAGCTGGGCATGGGGGCACACGCCTGTATTCCCAGCTGTCTTGGAAGCTGAGGCAGGAGGATCCCAAGTCTGAACCCATCTTAGGCAACTTATTTAGCAAAACCCTGTCTGAAAAAAGGAGAAAGAAAAGGGGGGAGGTAAGGGTGGGCTGGGAATGTAGCTCAGTGTGAAATTCCCAGTACTGAAAAACAGAAGAAAGTAAGACTCCACATGAACAGGGCCACAAAACGATCAAACAAGCCCTGAAGATATTTCCAGTACCTGACCAGATAGATCCTGTTCCCTAGTCCCTTACTGGGTTCTGTGTTCATCCCACTCCCAGTTCTTTCTCATGTCATCCTGAGCTAATTAATTTGGTGCTTTATTATTCTCCTCTGGATGAAGCCACAACCCTGTGGCACTTTGGCCAACAACAGGTGAGGTATATGCCCTGCTTGGTAGTATATTAGAAGTTAGATTTTTGTCCTCTGATCTGCACTTCCTACTTCTTCCCAAGTGAAATATACATCCAAGGCCTGGAAGTGTGGCAGCCATCTTGTGATTATGAAGTAACAAGAGAACAGGGGTCTACGTACTAAGACAGTGGAACAGCCTAATGCACCAGCCTAGACTGCTTACTCCAGCCTTCTATTTATATGAAGCGAATCTACTCCTAATCTGTTTAAGCGTCTCCACTGAGAGCTGAACGCATTTCTGACTTATAGTACATGGGTGCTATTTCCTCAGATAGACTGTGATACACATTTAACATTATATCCCAACCTCAAAATGGAATTTACTTTGCATCTCTTCAGTTTCATTGTTAGATCCGTTGAATTCTTTCAAAAATTTCTTGGTTTTTGTCATGTAGACTTTGCAAATTCATTGAGATCAAAGTGCTACCAGTTCCGAAATTCATATGAGACATAAATAAAAAATAGGGCTCATGGGCTGGGGATTTGGCTCAGTGGTTCCGCCACCTGCCTTGCAAATGCAAGGACCAGAGTTCGATCCCCAGTACCCAAAAAAAAAAAACAAAACAAAACAACAAAAATAGGGCTCAGGAACTGGAAAAACTGAAACCATGGTAGAGAGAAGAATCTATAGATTCTTTTTCTCATTTTGGACACTTTTCCCCTCTTTTTCTTTTTTATGTTCTGGGAATCAAACTCAGGGCCTTGCATGTGCCAGGCAGGTGCTATGCCTCTGAGCTACATCCCTGGCCCTGCTCCTGAATTTATGAGTTGGATTATGCCTTGGCTTTTGACTTTGTTTACTTACTTCATCAATAAAATTCCCAATTTCATCAGGATTGGCAGGGCGGGGACGATACTGGGGCACACTCATGAGGGTCGGTGCTACGTCATTGCGAGTGACTTCAGGCCGAGCATCCAGGCCCCTGTGCAACTGGCTCAAATCAAAATCCTTTAGGGAGAAAATAACAGTATGGGAGTCAGATACACACATCTGTACTTCCTTCGTGGATCATATTATTATTACATAATGCCCTAGCTGCCAACTGTATGATCTTTATCAGCATGCACCCAATGCAGCATCAAATGACAGTTTCTAAACTAGGCATCTCCCAAATAGCACTGCAAGAAAACAGCCTCAAATGACTAGCATTTGTCAGTATAAACAAACTGTTGTGTCTTACTCTTCACAGACTGTGGTTTTTTAGAGTATTCAAATGCACCAGTTCTCATCTGTGTGCAGACTGTAACTCATCAAAAATCAGCTGTGTTGCTGCTGCTGCTGCTGCTGCTGAATTTAGCCACAGACAAAGTCTGCAGCCTTAAAAAATAACATAGAGCAACAACAACCTGGTTTCTCCTATTACTTTTTCAAATAGGTCACCATTGAGCTTTTTATGTTTTGAAACCCACCTGGTCTTCTTCTCCACCTCCTTCTTCATCATAGTAATAAACATTGTCCCGAGTGTCATCTTCTGGGGGTAGCAAGGGCTCTTTGACCACCCTTCTCCTCCGAACGAACAGCAGGAGCAGCAAAATCAGAACTGGAATAGTGGAGAGAGAGAGAGGGGGCAGAGTGAAGAGTCACAGGCAAGGAAGGCCAGAGGAAACAGCTGTCACAGAGCACCACACGAGCGGCAGGGAGACAGCCACGGGCCACCTTTGGAGAACTTGCAATCAATCCACGTGACAGTCACCTCCCTGAAGTTAATACATGTAGTACAACATAGCAGACATAGGGTACATGAACTCAAGGGAGGTCTTTTTTTCTTTTGTTTTTTGACAGGGTCTC